TAACTGTAATACGTGCTCTTCATTCCATGGTCACAGCAGTGAAAGGGCAAGACACGGACGTGTTTAGGAAGTGACCAAGTGGGCAGTGGAGCCATCTGTCTGCACAGACCTGGAGCCCCGAGCTCTGGGGGGGGAGAGGCTCAGCCTCCGAGGAGTCCTCCAAGGATGAAGTCAGAGCTGCACCAGGCAGGGGAGCCCTGGAGGTGGACAGAAGCCGGGTCAGCACCCTGAGCATCCTGGGCGAGAGCCAGCACTTACAGGGGAGTGGGGCCATAGAGGGTGAGCAGGCAGAGATGGCCATTGTGACCTGGAGAAGAGAGTGGCCATGCCGATGGACGATGGGTGGCCGGGAGGGGAGAGGAAGACACAGATTTAAGAAATGCTTGAAATCGTGAAAAACTGAGGACTCAGTGTTGGTCCAGGGGCATAACTTACCACTTGGACATGTGGCCAGTGATGGGCASAGCAGTGGAATTTCAGGGACCCAGAAGTGACAGCTCGGAGCAATAACCCAGGGTGTGTTCCGGAACCAGAGGCTCAGGAGCGACGCCTTGGCTGGAAGTGGCCCTTCAGTCCTCCATCYGCCCCCCCCACGCACCCCATGTTGGACCCTCGCCTGTGCCACGCCGGGGACCTGGACTCCCTGGGAGAGATGAGGACTGGGCAAGGGACGCTCCCTCTCGGGGGAACACGGCCTGCGCTGGGGAGCACAGGAGTCCAGGCATGGTCCTGAGAAAGGACACACACCAGGGAGGAAGACTAAGGGAGGAGGTCAACAGGAGCGTGTCCAGGGACGTGGGACTGAGGACAGGAAGGTTGTCCAGGATTCAATGACCAGGAACGGCCCCATAACTCCAGGAACACCTTGCAGCAGGAAGGGGCTGGGGGACTGGTAGGGGCACTGGAGGGAGGCTCTCTGGAGAGGAGGCCTGGGGCTGAGTTGGGAGGAGCGTTGTCACAGTGAGAGCCGAGCCGGGCACGGGGAGCAGGCACAGGAGCACCCAGACACACACCCCCGGGGGAGACAGAGGGAGATGGAGCCCGGGCGCCTCCCCCACCCACTGCGGGGAAGCAGCTGGGTGAGGCCAGGGCTCCAGGAGATGGGGAGCAGAGTGGCCCTGTCAGGGCAGGACTCGAGTGAGAGGCACCGTGGTGCCAACCTGTCCAGGAGTGTCCTGGGGCTGCCGTCACTGGGCCACAAACTGGCTGCTGCCACCCCAGGTACACACCCTCCCAGTGCCGCCAGCCCCAGAGCAAGGTGCAGGCAGACCTGGCTCCTCCCCGGCTCTGGGGAGCTCTGCCCAGCMGCTCTTCCCGCCCCCAGGGCCACCGCAGCCCTGGGCATCCTTGGCTTTAGACATCGTCACTCTACCCCTGCCTGGGCCTCCACGCCCTCTCCAGTGTCTGTGCCCACTCTCCTCCTCACCAGGACACAGGTGCTGGGTCTGGGGCCCAACCCAATCCTGGATGACCACGCGAGCTCACGGCTTGAGGTTTGGTGGATGTGTCCTTGGAGGGACTGCCATTCTGTTCCTGTGGCACATTTGAGTTCTCAGGGTGGACAGGGCATCAGGACCATGATGAGGCAGGAGCTGCTGAGACCAGGAGGTGGCAGGGGKACAACAGGACGGCGGGGGCAGGGAAGACAGTGGAGTCAGCGTGGGCAGAAGTGGACCCTAGGGCGCAGGGCAGCAGCCGGTCTTGCTGGAGGAGAGCCCTGAGGAGGGCGAGGAGCAGGCACGGGGCCAGACGGCTGCGGCAGCCCTCCCAGACTGCTGCGGGGGAGGCAGGACTCCAGGCCAGGAGCTGCCTGGCCACAGGGCCTGGCATGCCCCAGCAGCTCCCGGGGCAAGACAGGAAGCGCCTGGACCCAGCTGAGAGGGGGAGCCGAGCTCACACGTCCGTCTGGGCCTGCCCCAAGAACCCAAGCAAGTGTGCACACCAGCAGCACTAACAGCACTCGGTGTGACGGGCACCCTCAGCCAGGAAGCAGAAGCCGCCCTGTGCAGCTGCAGTGTCCCCCACGAGGACACCTGGACGAGGAATGCAGGGGGACACCTTGGGCTTGGGGACACAGCCCTGTGCATGTCTGCCTTGCTGCCCTGGGTACCCAGGTGCAGCGGGCGAAGGTTCCAGCTCTCTGTTCCRGGTCTGGCCGAGGTGCAGGGAGACAGGGAGCAGCTAGGACGGGAGCGCACCACGGACAGGCACRCGGTGCGGGCTGCGGAGGGCAGCAATGCCCTCTGTAATGTGAGCTTCCTGCTTATGCCCTGGGCACCATCCTGGAAATGACGCACCGGCTGAGCTCATGGACCTCAGGGAGCCCGAAGCTATTTACGCTCTTAGCAGACACTTATTTGGCACTTAGCACGGAGCAGKCTCCCTTCTGTGTTAAAAGACCAGCCCACGCATCCTCGCATCCTCGCAGAGGGGGTGGTGTGAGCTTTGCCCGCTCACAGATGAGAAGCTGGACCCAGGCCCTGGAGAAGCTTGCCTCGGGCTGCAGCTGGCCACAGTCCCACCGGTTCAAGCGCAGGCAGGCAGACTGCAGCACCCAAACCCCTCGCCACTGAGGCAGGGAGGGACTGTGTACCAGGACACCCGCTGGTTCCCCAGGGGACTCTGAACTAACTGCAGCCAAACACAGAGCCACATGCCCAGGTCTCCAAGCGCACGCTTCAGGCATGACTGGATCTGGAAGTTCAAACACCATGATGAGCTGTCCCTGCTGTCCCCCCMCACACACCCGCCCCGCCTCTCTCTCCCTTCCCATCCCCACTCCTCCGTCCCCTGCAGGGATGTCATGGCATCTTTCTCCCATCTCTGTCCAGCCCTCGGTACCATCTTCGTGTGTTCCCGGTTGTTAAGGGCTTACTGAGCACRCCCAGCCAGCAGTCCGAGGAGAGCACTGACCCCTGGCCTAGCATCCCCTCAGGCCCCCTCAGGGTGTGCAGCAGCCTCGGTGGTTCCCCGACTAGACCCACGGCCACACACTGTCACGGCCCTGACTGTGGCCACCCCAGCAGAACCCCACGGAGGGTGYGGTGCGTTTCCCACAGGGAGGCCGCCCGGTGGGCCCCGGGCAGTAGCTGCTGACACCCAGGCCGCCCGTCTCCGCAGGGTGGTGAGCAGCTGGATCGAGAGGCGCCGGGTGCAGTCGGAGAAGGCCAACCTGACCATCCTCTTCGACAAGTACCTGCCCACGTGCCTGGACAAGCTGCGCTTTGGCTTCAAGAGGATCACGCCGGTGCCCGAGATCACCATCATCCAGACGATCCTCTACCTGCTGGAGTGCCTGCTCACCGAGAAGAACGCGCCGCCCGACTCCCCCAAGGAGCTCTACGAGCTGTACTTCGTCTTCGCCTGCTTCTGGGCCTTCGGGGGGGCCATGTTCCAGGACCAGGTGAGGGGCGTGCGGGGACCCCGCTGCCCGAGCCAGGGCCAGTCCCCCTCTTAGCTGGGCCTTTCTTTTTTCTTTTTTGCGCTTTTGGTTTTTAACAGCTTATAGATTACCGACTCGAGTTCAGCAAGTGGTGGATCAATGAGTTTAAAACCATCAAGTTACCCTCTCAGGGAACAATTTTTGACTACTACATTGATCCTGATACTAAAAAGTTCCTGCCGTGGACAGACAAAGTGCCTGCCTTTGAGCTGGATCCCGACATCCCGCTGCAGGTAACCCCACGCAGAGGCCGAGAGCAGGGCGCCCAGACCCTCCCCACACATGCCCAGGCAGCCCRTCCAAATGCAACCAGTTTTCCCCAGTAGCCCTGTTTAAGTGATACAGGGAGTTCAGAGGTCTGAGAGCCGGGTGCCCTACTGTGATCCCAGCCACTYGGGAGGCTGAGGCAGGAGGATTACAAGTTCCAAGCCAACCTCAGCCACYTAGCGAGGCCCTAAGCAACTTARCAAGACCCTGTCTCAAAAGAAAAAGAGAGCTGAGAATGTGGCTCAGTGGTCAAGTGCCCTGGGCTCAATCCCTAGTACCAAAGAAAGAAGACTGTTGAGATCTGCAGGCTAGTGAGAGGTAGAACTGGCTGGGTTTGTTGTCTGAGGCAGGCTCCCAATCCCCTGTGYTCTGTTCCTCTCCCTCCTGTTCTTGGGCCTCTCTGCCCCAGGCCTCTCTGGTCCACACCACGGAAACCATCCGCATCCGCTACTTCTTGGACCTGCTCATGGAGAAGTCCTGGCCCGTGATGCTGGTGGGGAACGCGGGCACAGGGAAGTCGGTGCTGATGGGCGACAAGCTGGAGAGGCTGAGCACAGACGAGTACCTGGTGCAGTCGGTGCCCTTCAACTTCTACACCACCTCYGCCATGCTGCAGGGTGAGGTGCCCGCTGGGCGCACTCTGCATGCTGCCCCCCGTGTCCTGTCCCACCTCCCTGCAAGCATGGGGTCAAGGGGAAGGCTACCGGTCCCCCTGGGAGCACCCGGGCCAGTCCCAGGGGGTGGCTCCAGCTTCCTGCCACTCCAGCCTCCCAGGGTTCTGTCTGCTCTGGGACTGGGGGAGCCGAGGCTGCACGGCAGACCCCTGCCCGCCTCCCTCAGGCCCCTGAGGGCCACTCCCTGGGCAGCTGCACTCAGCGATCATGACCCTAGCCAGCTCAGTAGGGCCCAGGCCTGGGGCAGTGGTCGACCCTCTGCCCACCCCAGGTGTGCTCGAGAAGCCGCTGGAGAAGAAATCGGGGAGGAACTATGGGCCACCAGGCACCAAGAAGCTGATCTACTTCATYGACGACATGAACATGCCTGAGGTGGACAAGTATGGGACAGTGGCCCCGCACACCCTCATCCGGCAGCACATGGACCACGGGCATTGGTAAGGGGGGCTGTGGGGCGGAGCCAAGGGGTACAGGGGGCGGGGCCAAGTGACAGGGGGCGGAGCTACAGGCCTCCTGTGGGGGACTCTGTGAGCCTGGGCACAGGCAGAGGGCCCCCCCCCAGCCAAGGGGCATGGAAGGCGAGGGGTACGGTGCAGTGACAAAGCCACAGAGGGGTCCCCAGGACCTTGGGGCAGACTGGACAGAGCACGAATGCTTAGGTGGCGATTTGGAAAGATCCGTACATTCAGTTCATCTTATCTCTCAAGATGGGCAAGTGGCCCAGGCCGTGCCCAGGTGCCAAAGGAGCCCAGGAGCCCGCAGAGGGCTTGGGCTGCCGGCTCCCGTCCCTGCACTCCCGAGTGTCAGGGCCAATTCCAGGGTTGCCTTCCCCACAGAGCAGCAGTGGCTCTCAGAGCACCCGCTGGAGGAGCGGCAGGATGCCCCAGACCGTGGGTGCTGCAGGCTGGCCTGTGTGGCCAAGGGGAGTAAGAGGGATGGCGCCCTGGGGAGCCAACACAGCCACCCGAGGAGGCCGCCCCACGTGGACCCTGAGCACAACATCTCTGACGAACAGAAGGTGGTGTCGGTGGGGAATSTGAGGGCACCAAGACAGGAGTGGAGAGTCGGAGGAACGATGGGGCCAGCAGGCTTTCGGGGGGTCACCATGAGGCTGATGAGGGCTCAGCCCTCCCGGCTCCAGGCCCCTTCAAAGCCCTTGAAGGGGCTCCACAAGGTCAAGCACTCCAGGAAACTGCTGAGATTATGGTGTTCTCCAGGAGGGCCCAGGCGGCTGCGCATGGGCCACGCCTGGGTCCACGCCTCCCTGGAGTTTAACCTGAAGAACCCTGGGGGGYGGGAGTCAGGCTTGGTTGACAAGATTCCTCTGGAGTTTCAGGTCCAGGTGGCTCCATGGTGACAGGGTGGGTGTGTCGGGAGGCAGCAGGAAAAGACACTCAGGGACAACAGGGAGTGCAGACCCCCCTGGCGGGAAGAACACACCTCTGGGACCCTAGGAAGGGGGGCAGGGAAGGCTCAGGCAGAGCCCCGGGGTGGAATGTGAATGCTGTGATTGACATCCAAATCGAGGAAGCTCCTTCAACAAGGAAGAGCATGAAGAAACGGGATGGCCAATGAGACAGGAGGAAATGGCTCAGAGGGTCCACMTCAGATCCACAGGGGCTTCCTGTAGGTCAGCACCAGGCAGCACCCCCACCCCAGAAAGGAATGAATGATGGAGGAGAGGGAAAAGTTAGAGGGATGGGGAAGACCGCCCGGGCTGGCCCCGGAACACACCCGTCAGAGCCGGGGGTAAGGAGAGCGCTGGGCAGCAATGCTGTCAGGAACCAAAATGTCCACGGKCAGGAAGCACTTATCACTCACGGCTGTGTCCCAGGGGCCTGCCCCCGTGTCCTTTCATGCACTCACTCTCGCAGTCCCCACAGGGACCCACTGCGCAGATAAGAATGTCAAGGCCCTTGCCGGGCACCATGGTGCACTCCTGAATCCCAGCAATTCAGGAGGCTGAGGCAGGAGGACTGCAAGTTCAAGGCCAGCCTCTGCAACTCAGGGAGACCCTAAGCAGGGTTAGAGAGACCCTGTCTCAAAATTAAAAAGTCTGGGGCTGTAGCTCAGTGGGAGAGCACCTCTGGCTTCAATCCCCAGTACCCAAAAATAGAATACCGAGGCCCACAGAGGTTAGCCAACTTACCCAGCACCCTGTCGCACCTAAGGAAGGAGCAAGGATGTGACCCCAGGCCTGTACTACGGGACATTCTTCTGCCGCCTGTTTCAGATTTTTTTCTTGAAGGCCAGATGTGGAGGTGCACACCTGTAATCCCAGCGACTCGGGAGGCTGAGGCARGAGGATTGCAAGTTCAAGGCCAGCCTGGGCAACCTACTGAGAACCAGCCTCCAAATAAGAAATCAAAACGGTTGGGGGGGGGGTGTCTCGGTGGTAGCACACCCCTGAATTTAATCCCCAGTATGAAAAAATATTATTTTTTTTCCCTTGAAAGCAAGAAGTAAACTTGGCTGTTTGTCATCCAGTTGGTATTACTGAGATTCTTTCTTCAACCACATTCACGGCAGTCCTGGGGGYCGGGTGGTCATGCTGGTCTCCCTGGCCCAGGTACGACAGGCAGAAGCTGACCCTGAAGGATGTYCATAACTGTCAGTACGTGGCTTGCATGAACCCCACCGCTGGATCCTTCACCATTGACCCAAGACTGCAGGTGAGCAGGAACCAAACTCATCTCGGCMGCGGCCTGGGGTCTGAGGCTTGCTTGAGAATAAAAGCATTGGTTCGGGGTGTTCTCGGGGGCTCCCTAGCCTTTCAGAATGTCAGGAGACTGAGGGAGGCTGGAGGACAAGCGACCAGCCAGCCCTCCTTAGGACCCCCTAGCGCTGCCATAATTAGCAAGTAAACATGCAGACACCCAGTGAAGTCTGAATTCCAGCCAGGCCACAGATGCCCTTTCTCGTATAAATATGTCCCAAATAGTGCATGAGACATACTTAAACTAAAAAAGACCTTTGTATTTGTGGCATATCTAAAGCTTGGATTTAGTAGGACACCCAGCATCCTGTCTGCAATCCTGCTCAGACAGCTCTCACCCCTAAATAATGGAGGCATGTGGAGACCTGAGCTACAGACCCGGGCCCCCTCTGAGCCACATCTCTGCCCCCACAAATGCTTCTCGACAGCAGGACGTGAGTGTGGCTGCYTCATGTCCAATCAGTCGTTAATGTGACCTCACCTGCAAGGCACAAGGAGGGAAACTGTCCATCCTGACCATGTCCCAGAGTTAGGTGATGTTAGACAGTGAGGACGGGTCTCCTCTCCCAAGAAGGTGGCCCTGGCCACCAGCTGGTCCCCTAGAGCTGCCTGACAGAAGACCCTGGTTCTCCCGGGACAGCGCCACTTCTGCGTGTTCGCCGTGAGCTTCCCTGGCCARGACGCCCTCATGACCATCTACAGCACAATCCTGATGCAGCACCTGTCCTACCGCTCGGCCTCCATGGTGGTCCAGAGGATGAGCGGCCAGCTGGTGGCTGCAGCCCTGGGTAAGCTGCCAGCTCCTGCCCTCACTGCTGGGTGCGGCTGGCGGTTCCTCATATTTCCCCMGGTGAATGTTTGCAGCAGGAGGTACGTGACTAAAGTGCTTCAGGGGACGCGGAGCACTGAAGTCCAGGACGGGGCCACGAGCCAGCACAGCAGCAGCAGGCYGCCCCGCTCCTCAGGGAGCTTTGCAGCTTCCTCACTTCAATTGCCACCATTTCATGGTCCACTTGCTGGAGAAACGTTAAGCTCTGTGCTCCCCGAGGCCTCGAGGCGCACGTCACAAGCCATGTCTTTTCCCCYAACAGCCTTGCATCAGAAAGTGACCTCGACGTTTCTTCCCACGGCCATCAAGTTCCATTATGTCTTCAACCTCAGGGACCTCTCCAACATCTTCCAGGTACTGGTCACGTCMTGGACCCCTGGTGCTCTCTTCCTCTGCCTCTCTCAGGAGAGAAGGCAAAGGGAGTGCAGATTGATGATGGTGATGGTGACGGTGACGGTGATGGTGGGGACAGTGACTGGTTTGATGATGGTGATGATAGTGATGGTAATGATGGTGCTGATGCTGATATGGTGGTGATGGTGGTGGTGATGGTGACAATGAGGGTGGTAGTGATGGTGACAATGATGGTGATAGTAAGGATGGTGGTAATAATAATCGTGATGGCGACAATGAGGATGGTGGTGATGGTGGTGCTGATGGTGACAATGAGGATGTAGTGATGGTGGTGGTGATGGTGACAGTGAGGGTTGTGGTGATAATGATTGTGATGGTGATGACGGTGACAATAGTGATGGTGGTGGTGATGGTGACAGTGAGGATGGTGGTGATGGTGGTGGTGATGGTGACAGTGAGGATGGTGGTGGTGATGGTGACAATGAGGACGGTAGTGATTGTGGTGGTGATGGTGACAATGATGGTGACGGTGAGGATGGTGGTGATGGTGACAATGGTAGTGATGAGGATGATGATGGTGGTGATGGTGGTGATCATGTTCCTTCTCATTTATTGGCTGCTTGGTCTGAGTCAGGCATTAGGTCTGGTCACTTACACTCCATTTTCTCTCCAAGCAACACGCAAAGCTGGGATTCTTRTTCCTGGTTTACGGAGGGGCCTCTRAGGCTCAAGGAGGCTAAGTCCTGCCTGTCTCCTCGCGCTGTGCCAGCTCGCTGCGACCCACACCTCCACCTCCTTGCCCTCCTATGACATTCCCAGCACACACCGTGACAGTCACTCCCTTGTTATTTAGTTCACCTGCCTCTAGATCATAAGCTTTACAAACACAGGGTCTGTCTGCCATCACTGTAGCTCCAGGGCCCAGAGGGTGCCTGGTGAGTAGCCCTCGCTGAGCTTGCTGGAGGCCACTTGGCCAATACGTGGCTGATCCAGGACTGGACCCAAACACTGTGCCTTTGATAATCTGGCTCCTTGTCAATCATGCACCCACTGGAGAATGAGCCCCTGACCTGACGGTGAGGAGACTCCCTCATCTTCAGGGGCCAGACCCACGCTGGCCGGGATGTACATGGCCTCAGGGGCAGGTTGCTTCCCTGGGCCGGGGAGAAGCTGTGCTGTAGCTCAGCACGTCCTCCGGGAAGCAGCCACGCTGACAGCCCACCTGTGTCCAGCACGAGGTCTCCCTTCCCAAGGCARCAGAAGAGGCTGACCGCCCTGCTGTGGGGCAGGGACTCTTGTTCTCCACAGCAGAGATCCTGAAGGTCCCCCTGGACCTTGTCCGCCTTTGGCTGCATGAGGCTGAGCGAGTGTATGGGGACAAAATGGTGGACGAGAAAGACCAGGAAACGCTGCACAGGGTCACGGTGGCCTCCACCAAGAAGTTCTTTGATGTAAGTCAAGCCACCAGCTCCCTCTGCTGAGCCCAGGGAGGCTCCAAGAGGGACAGGGAGTGCCTGTGGCCAGTGGGGACTGCAGTCCTCTGGGAAGGGCCCCTRGGGTGGGGATGGCCACGGGGTGGTCCCACAGGATGACTCCGTCATGTGACAGTGGGCCCAAGTGAGAAGGAGCTGACCACTTGGGGTGGAAGGGCACCCTCCATCCCCCCTGGCCTCGTTCCGCGTGCCCTGCACCGTGTCCACGTGGACCCCCGGTTTTCATGGGTGCACCCTAGTTGTGCACACTGACGGAAGTGCTGTTACACACTCGCACACACAACACAGCGGTATCATCTGGCCAAGGTCACTCCCTGGGGCAGCTTCTTAGGACCGTCCATTCCTTCCACGAATGGGGGATTGGAGCACCCCACCAGGGATGCCCGTGGTTTGCAGGGCCAGGGCAGCCATGGTCTGGGTCCCTGGCATCCTAAAGCCTCTAGGCCACCTTAGCAAAGTCCTCAGGACACCAGTTCATACCCGTGCCGCGGAGGCAGAAACGGAAGTATCTGGTCTCTGGTTTCCAGGAACTCGGTGAGGAGCACATGTTTGCCAAACCCAATATCTTCTGCCACTTTGTCCAAGGGATTGGTGACCCCAAGTACTTCAACGTGACCGACGTGGCTCAGCTGAACAAGCTGCTGGTGGACGTCCTGGACAGCTACAACGAAGTCAACGCCGTCATGAACTTGGTGAGTGGTGCCAGGGCTGTTGGCACAAGCCAGGGACGCAGGGCAGAGACTGGCTTTCCTGTCTCCACACAGCAGCGCCCCCATGCACAGGTGCCATGAGCCCGAGGCTGCCTGAGACCGCAGAGAGCGCCAGTCCCTGTGTGCGCCCCGGTTTCCCCTGCGTGCCGATGACAAGGCCTCGTGTGTGAGCCAGAGCTGGGAGCGGTGGCACCCCTGGAATCCCAGCTGCCTCCTGCTGAGGCAGGAGGAGGGCAGGTCAAGGACACTCTGTCCCAAAATAGAGATAAACAGGGCTGGGGGGTGTAGCTCAGTGGTGAAGCACCCTGGGTTCCATCCCCAGCCCCAGAAAACAATAAATTAGGCACAGTAAGAGATTAATAATAATAACTAACAACAAAATAGAATCACTGTGACCATATACTGTAATGAAAGTTATTTAAAACATTAATTGATTATTTCTGGAACTTTCCACGTGATATCGTGGCAAAGTGAACCCACAGCTGAGGGGGGCRCAGCCGTGAACGTCTGAGGGGCGTCCCACAGGCTGCGTGACTCCCAGTGGGCACCCCAGCGTGGCACCTGCCGCCCAGGGGTCTGYGTGAGGGTCTGCGTGCCAGGCGGACCCTCCGTGAGTCTGGTCCCCTCCACAGGTGCTGTTTGAAGACGCCGTGGCGCACGTCTGCAAGATCAACCGCATCCTGGAGTCGCCCCGCGGCAACGCGCTGCTGGTGGGGGTGGGCGGCAGCGGGAAGCAGAGCCTCTCRCGCTTGGCAGCCTACATCAGCGCCCTGGACGTGTTCCAGATCACCCTCAAGAAGGGCTATGGCATCCCGGACCTCAAGGTGAGGGTCACTTGGCAGCCGGCTGCCCTCGGAGTGTCACCCGTCCTCCTTGGAAGTAAATGCCGCAGTCTGGCTGGGCACAAATAACCAAGCCGCCAAAAAGCCTTGTAGGTTCAAACAGCAGCTCTTTATTCCCGAACTCTCACCGGCCCTCCACACACACTTCCCGGGAACGCACTCCCTCCACCGGGCTCCACGCACCCCCCCCAAACCCCGCTAGAACTCAAAGGGAACTCCAAAGTAGTGGGCGCTAGAACTCAAAGGGAACTCCAAAGTAGTGGGCGCCCGAGGCAGCAGGATCTGCCCTAATCCCAGCAGGATCCGCCCTAATCCCGGAGCCGCCCTATTCCGCCCCCCCCCCAGGATCCGCCCTAATCCCAGAGCAGGGTCACCTTTCAACCATTCCCTCTAGCAAAAAGCCAGGCGTCATTCGACTAAACTGTGGCTCTGAACAAGTAGTGAAGGCCAGAGGTCTGAGCTGGGCCCTTCACGGGGTAACCCAGGGGTGTCGCCCCAGTGGGAACAGGCCTGCTCCCCCAGGGAGCCCCAGCAAACACGGTCAGTCCAGAGCGGATGGTTGATGTGCTCAAGAAGAGACCCGGGACTGCTCTGAGCYAGACTCCATCCCCCTGCCCTCGTGCCAGGGGCAGGCGCTGGCCCGGTGGCCTACATGGAGCTGGTCGGAGCCCAGCCAGAGGGCACACGTGGGGTGCAGGGTCTGCTGGCCGAAGCCCCAGTGAGGAGCACAGGAGGCGAGGCGCAGGCTGCACTGGGACAGCCACGTCTGGGTGACCCCAGCTCCCACCTCCTGGCCCTCTGCCTTCGGGGGCCTCAGCTTTCTATGTAAAGGAGATGCCTCTACTGGAGGCCTTTTCAGTTTTTAGCTTGTCAAAGATGTGGAATTCGAGGCTGGCTTTTGACCCCAGCGGGCCCCAGTCAGCTGCCCCACAGAGGAGCTCTGAACAGAGACTCGAGGGAGGGGAGCYGCTCCTCAGGAGGGGACGGGTCACTCAGGTGCCTGTGATGGACGTTCAACACCACAGATGCCCGTGGGTCTTATCAAAAAAACACTGAAGGCTGGGGCAGCGGCCTCCTGTGATCCCAGCAGCTCAAGAGCTGAGCGAGGCCCTGTCGCCCCAAAAAATAAAAAGGTCTGGGGAGGTAGCTCAGCAGTGGAGCTCCCCGGGCCCATCCCCACTAGCAAGTCGGCGACGCCCTGAAGATTCACACCAGTGGGCACACGCAGGCCAGTGGGCAAGATTTTCTCAAAGACGGCAGGTTGTTGGTCCCTGCCACCTGCTTTCTGTTGGGCTTTCTCTTCACCGAGRCTTCTGGACTCGAGCTGCTGGTCTGCTGTACACCTGCTGGGCCGGGGCAGGGTCAGGCCGCAGGTGGCCCACTCAGGGCCGTCCACGGGTCGCAGGGCCGGTCCCCAGTCCCAGCCTGGGTGTGCCTGCTGAGGGCCCCCTCCAGGGTTTCCCCGTGAGGAGTCGCTGGGCTCCTGCCTTTTGCGTGTGTGGTAACCTACCCGTGACAAATGATTCACCCTTTGGTGGCCTTTGGTGGCTTCACAGTCACGCCCACGGTCACCTCACCACCGTCCACCAGCAGGACTCTTTGATTTGGAAACAGACCCTCTCCCTGCTACACCGCACCCCATGTCCCCCTCGGCCACGCCTCCTCTGCTTGCGTCTCTGTGCCAGGGACCTGCGGATTCTGTCCTGGGTGGCTTGGGCCAGCAGCTCCCTTGGCATGACCTCCTAAGGATTCACTGTGTTGTCACAGGTCTCAGAATGTCCTTCCTTGCCAAGGACCATGCAGTGTGTGTCCCCTGCCCATGGATGGGCACCTGGCCGTCCCAGCAGCAGGCTGTGTTCCTGTCATGGATTTAGGGGTCCCTCCAGAGCCCTGCACCTCCCCAGGACGCTCTGGGTGGCTCTGGAGGGTGCCCAGCTCTGGGTGGCTCTGGAGGGTGCCCAGCTCTGGGTGGCTCTGGAGGGTGTCCAGCTCTGGGTGGCTCTGGAGGGTGTCCAGCTCTGGGTGGCTCTGGAGGGTGTCCAGCTCTGGGTGGCTCTGGAGGTGCCCAGCTCTGGGTGGCTCTGGAGGTGTCCAGCTCTGGGTGGCTCTGGAGGTGCTTCTAGCCCAGCCGGTCAAGGTCTCCCAACGTGTCCTCGCCTGGCCCAGATGGACCTGGCCGCCCAGTGCATAAAGGCTGCTGTGAAGAACGTGCCCTCCGTGTTCCTGATGACGGACTCCCAGGTGGCCGAGGAGCAGTTCCTGGTGCTGATCAACGACCTGCTGGCCTCCGGGGAGGTCCCCGGGCTGTTTGCGGACGATGAAGTGGAGAACATCATCTCCTCCATGCGACCGCAAGTGAAGTCCCTGGGCGCGATGGACACRCGGGAGGCGTGCTGGAAGTTCTTCATTGAGAAAGTGCGCAAGCAGCTCAAGGTAGGACCCGCCTGGGGCAGGAGCTGCCCGCTCCCTGTCCCCTCCAGGGTGGGTCCTTGTTCCCCAGGTCACGGGAAGCTGTTAGCCATGTGCAGGTGGCAGGGAGGGGACAGCCTCACGAACTGCAGCTGGAGATTCGTTTCCTGGGGGCTGGCGGAGACACCCGGGACAGAGGAAGTATCTCATCTCCACCTAGAGAAGCGCGCCGYGGCCTTCAACACCGCGAGGGGAGGGCCGTAGACTGAGAGGGGCCTTTGCTTCCTCTGCCTGGGAACTCAGGGTGGCCGCGGCGGAGGGTCCACCCACAGCCTGCACCATCTGCTGGTGGTCCTTCTCCCCTGCTTGGGGCAAGAGAGCCAGGTTCTCCAGCTCCCCTCTGGGTCCCCTCCGGCAGCGGAGGCTGCTGTGGGCCCGAGTCCCCGAGGTGCTGCAGGCTGCGGGCTTCCTGACCAGGCCTGCCCCCTCAGGGGAGCTGGGAAGTCAGAGCAGCATGTAGCCAGCTCTGTTCAATGGCACGTCCAGGAACCAACCTCCTCGCCCCTGAGAGAAGGGACAGAGGATGAGGGGGGCGGCCCCTTCCCCAGCTGGGGCCCCCGGAGTCCCCATCTCGTCTGGGAAAGGCCACTGTCCTTCGGGGCCTGCAGGAGCTCTGTGTCTCTGACAGACCCAGGAGGGATCGGGGCTCCCTGTTCACAGTCCTCACCCTTCAACGTGGAGGCCACTCCCTGGCCCTTCCTGGCCCAGCCTCCTTCAGAAGGAGGAGGTGCTCAGGGAGGGGTCAGGGTTGCCCGCACCCTCACGTGGCTGGTGAGTGCCGTGACGTCCGCTGAGCGCTTCTCAGTGTGGTGCCCAGCCACCATGCCAACCCAGAAGCAGGACGTGCTCCCCAGGCCTGTGGACACCGAGGCCTGCTGACCACGGCGCTTTCCAGAGGAGCTCGCTGGAAGAAGGCGGGACAGCCGTGGCACTGCCACCCCAGTGAGCCACGGCCTGTGTCCCACGTCTAGGTGATCCTGTGCTTCTCCCCCGTGGGCTCCATCCTGCGTATTCGAGCAAGAAAATTCCCTGCCGTGGTCAACTGCACGGCCATCAACTGGTTCCACGAGTGGCCGGAGGATGCCCTGGTGTCCGTCAGCGCTCGCTTCCTGGAGGAAACGGAGGGCATTTCGGTGAGGCGGGGAGGGCACAGGTTCAGGTCTCCAGTCCCCAAGATGTGGCCCCCTAGGAGCAAGGAATGGCCTCTAGCAGCCCCCAGGCCCTGAGCTCAGGAAGCCCCACCTGGCTGACCTGCCGTGGCCAGCAGCTGTCCCTCTTCCCTGGGCCCTCAGAGCAAGGCTAGGGACCCAGCAGGAGTGGGGACATGTGGATGGGGCCCGGGGGTGCCAGCCTGTCCCCTCCTCCCCACAGCGGGAGGTGAAGACCTCCATCAGCCTCTTCATGTCCTACGTGCACACCACGGTCAACGAGATGTCCAAGGTGTACCTGGCGACCGAGAGGCGCTACAACTACACCACGCCCAAAACCTTCCTGGAGCAGATCAAACTCTACCAGAACCTGCTGGCCAGGAAGAGGCTGGAGCTGGTGGCCAAGATCGAGCGGCTGGAGAACGGCCTCATGAAGCTGCAGAGCACAGCCTCCCAGGTGGGCAGCGGGCCTCGGGCGACCCGGGGAAAGTCCCACACAGGCCAAGTGCTGCAGGACCGAGACCAGGCACAGACGTGCGGTCCAGCAGAGAGCACAGGCTGCAGAGGTCTCGCGTTGGGCGCCTGGCCCACCACAGAGCTGCCCACCCTGCGGCCCAGGGGGCTGGGTCTCAAGGCCAGCATGACCAGGGAAAATGCACCCGGGCCCTTCGCCCACAGCCCCTCCACACCATGACCTAGGGGACATTTTTCCCCAGTCGCCGCGGCTGTGCCTGGAGAAGCAGGGTGCCTCGCGCCTCTGATCCTGTGACACCGCGGGCACGACTGGTGAACTGAGACTTCCCACGAGTCCCTGGGAGGAGGCGGAAGCCACCGACCCACTGCTGTGTAGGCCCCGTGGCTGCCGCCCSTGCCCACCCACGCAGGGCAGCGTGTGGGCCCAGCCCCAGCTCGCTGTCCCCGTCTCTCCTTCCCCAGGTGGATGACTTGAAGGCCACGCTGGCGATTCAGGAGGCTGAGCTCAAGCTGAAGAACGAGAACGCAGACAAGCTGATCCAGGTGGTCGGCGTGGAGACGGAGAAGGTCAGCAAAGAGAAAGCCATCGCCGACGAGGAGGAGGTCAAGGTGGAGATCATCAACAAGGTGGGCGCCGCAGGGCAGCGGGGCCTCCCGGGGGCCAGGCCGCACCACAGACTCGGAAAGMCTTGAGACCTGGCCAAGGAAAGAGCTGCCCATGCAGGGGACAGCGGGGGCAGCTCTGCCAGGGGCAGCTGGCCCAGAGGAGGGCTTTTAGAGATCCCCGAAGCCAGGCCAGGCCCCTGAGGTGGCACTGCCAGGCGCCTGAGAGAGACGGAGGCCACTGGCCCCAGCCAGCTCTCCCGGGTGACATCCCCTGGAGCCTGGTACTCAGACCTGCTGCTCCTGAAGATGTGGAGAAGCCCCCCGGAGCCTGGAGCGTCCCTGGCCTGGCAGCAGCTGGGGCAAGGACCAYTCTATGGCTCGAGGGGTCTCCAGCAGAGACCCTCAGGGCCCCGGGGTCCTGCACTGTGGCTGTGGCCCTCCCCACACGCCTTTGTGTCGTCAGGGTCGGGTCTGGGCAGGGGTTTCCCRTCGTCTTCCAGCAGCGGCCACTCCCTCCACGTGGCAGAGGCTCTCCCTCGGCAGGTCCACCCTGGAGGACAGGCGGCTTCCCCGGCGGGAGGAGGCCAGGCAGGGCAGCCAGGAGCTCGGACCCTTTCTCATGTCAATAGCGCCACCACAAGCCTATTAGGCAGACAGGAAACTGAGGCTTCGGGGTGGCCAGTCACCTGCCCAAGGTCGGAAACTAGCAGGTGGCCTAGCTGAGATCCAGGACAGGACACAGACCTCACAGCCTGTTCTCTCCCAGCTCCTCTGGTCTCTAGTGGGCATCTGAAGGTCAGAGGGTCCCTGCTGACCCAGAGATCAAATGTAGACACACGCGCACACACACGCACACGCGCACGTGAACAAACTCAGGCCTGGACGAGGAGGCCCTACTTTCCGAGGGGGCCGTCCTGGGAGATCACACTGTGGTCCCGAGACCTCCAAGCCAGACAGGGTCGGTCCCCCTGCGGGAGCAGACCCTGCAGGACCCCCACTGATTTTTCCTAGAATGTCACCGAGAAACAGAAGGCTTGTGAGACGGACCTGGCGAAGGCAGAGCCAGCCCTGCTGGCCGCACAGGAGGCCCTGGACACTCTGAACAAGGTGTGGGAGGAAGTGGAAAGGAAGCGGGGGTGAGGGACCGCAGGAGACAGACACCTTGGCCCCGAGCTGGGTGGCGATGCCCGTGCCCATCTGTCCCCTGCAGAACAACCTGACAGAGCTGAAGTCCTTTGGGTCCCCCCCGGACGCTGTGGTCAACGTCACGGCTGCCGTCATGATTCTGACCGCCCCCGGAGGCAAGATCCCCAAGGACAAGAGCTGGAAGGCAGCGAAGATCATGATGGGCAAAGTGGACACGTTCCTGGACTCCCTCAAGAAGTTCGACAAGGAGCACATCCCCGAGGCCTGCCTGAAGGCGTTCAAGTGAGTCCCAGATCCCTGCAGCTCCTCCTCACCTAGGGACGCCACCCCCCCCACCCCCGGGGACGGCCCCTCGGAGACCAGCCCCTGGGAGGGGGGCCAGCCTCTGGGGGACAGAGCAGCCCCTGGAGGACAGACTAGCCCTAGCACAGCAGYCCCTAGGCATGTGCTTATCTGGGGGTAGGGTCTTGGGGTGAGCTGAGTRGGGAGAACCCAAAGATTCAGGTGACCCCTGGGCAGATGAGGCCACCCCTGAGGGTTAGGGGTCCTGGGTGTAGCGTGGCCCAGGCTCCTTGGGAACCCCACCACCCTGTCTCCCTCACCGGAGGAAGCTGGGGCAGATGGAGGCAGCTCCCTCCCCATTCAGCCCGGGGCCAGAGCACATGGCTGATGAGCTCTCAGCAGGAAACCCGGGGCCCAGCCTGACCCTGGGACTGGCTGCCAGGCCCACAGAGGCCCGTCCCTGCCAGAGAAGCCTATTACCCATGCACACAGGTGCATACACACTCACGCACAGACACACCTGCCTAATGTGCACACAGGTGCACGTGCACAAGAGTGGTCACTTGCAGGGGCTGTGCCCTGTGTCTCTCTTTCCTTCCACTGTCCCCTATTGAGGCCATGTCAGGAGGGAGGCCCCCTCAGGTGGCGCAAGGACCTGGGGACCCTACTTGACTTATGTATTTATAATATTTTAGAATTATAAGCATTTTATTTATTTTCATGTGGTGCTGAGGATCAAACCCAGTGTCTTCCACATGCAACGCAAGCGCTCTACCACTGACCCCAGCCCCAGCCCTGGGACCCCACTTTAAACCCATCATTTCAGACAGTAGGCTCACAAGTTGCCCCATTATGTGAGCACTCTGGCTGGTTTTCTAYCCCCCATGCCCCATGTTCCTTGTCCAGGGGCCCCCTCAGAGGCCACCCTGACCCCAAGGGACCCCAGTGTTTCCCAGCCCCCACTGGTGAGGGATGGTGCTGAGCTGCTGTAAACCCTTGGGTCAGTCTGAAATACTTTAAAGTGTAAGAAGGAAAAACAGCCAGGCACAGTGGCACACTCCTGTAATTCCAGCCCCTTGGGAGGCTGGGGCAAGAGGATCGCAAGTTCAAGGCCAGCCTCAACAACTTAGTGAGACCCTGTCTCAAAAAAATAAAGAGGACTGGGGATGTGGCTTAGTGGTTAAGTACCCCTGGTTTCAATCCCCAGTATCAAAAAAAAAGAAAGAAAGAAAAATGAGGTGAACACAGCAGGTCCTCGCGGAACCCCAGGATTCTTACCTGTGGGGGCAGTTGAAGAATTAAGATGACATCAGCTCTGTGACACCTGAGACACTCTAGTTTCCTTTCCACCTAGAATATGGGACTCAAGTCACCTCTCTCCATTCTCCACCCCAAAGCTACTTCAGAGGCCAGATCCGATGTCATATTTTTCCCTGTAATCACTAAGGGACAACAACAACAAAACCAATGCCCCCTCCTGTGGCCGTCCCGCGCCCAAACCCTAACCCACACAGCTAGGGCGGCCGCGCTGCAGAACCAGGGTTGGGAAGCAGGCACGGGGCCTACCSGGCCAGCCCCGCCCAGCGCCCAGCGCCCTCTGCTCCCGCAGGCCCTACCAAGGCAACCCCACCTTCGACCCCGAGTTCATCCGCTCCAAGTCCACGGCGGCCGCGGGCCTGTGCTCCTGGTGCATCAACATCGTGCGCTTCTACGAGGTCTACTGCGACGTGGCGCCCAAGAGGCAGGCCCTGGAGGAGGCCAACGCGGAGCTGGCCGAGGCRCAGGATAAGCTGAGCCGGATCAAAAACAAGATCGCGGTGAGCGCCCCGTGGGCCCATGAGGCCCCACGCCACCTGCCCACGCGGTCCGTCAGGCCCTGTTTCGGRACTGGGGTGCAGCTCGGGGTAAAGCGGTGCCTGGTGTGTGCCAGGCCCGGGCTCCYGCCCCAGCATGCAGGAAACGCACCTGCTTCAGATGGGCGGCACGGCCTGGGAGTAGGAYGCGGACCGGTGCAAGCCAGGGCCGCGTGCTCTGGGGGGCTCCAGCCAGCCCTTGCCCTCGGGGCTGGTCCTCCTGTCCCAGGAGCTCTCCACCTGTTTTGGCAGGAACTCAATGCCAACTTGAGCAACCTGACGTCAGCCTTCGAGAAAGCAACTGCGGAGAAAATCCAGTGTCAGCAGGAGGCTGACGCCACCAACAGAGTGATCTCACTGGCTAACAGGTAGCGGCTGCTCCCAGGGACACCCCACCTGTTTCTTGGGTCCCCCAGAAGGGACCAGCCCTCAGAGGTCTTGGAGGGAGGAAATGTTGTGACTTTCTGAACTTTGGCGGAGGCTTGCCGGCCTGCCGCCCCCCTTCCCTCTGCAACCTTGAGGAAACTGGACCTTTGGCAGAGCTGCCTGGACACTGTGTCCACGGGGGCTCGCTCTGGGGCAGCATGCTCCCTCACGGTCCTCAGGGGACTGACGGGTCCGTGGTTCTCCCCATGGACACCCAAGTCTGCGGGTGCAGCACATAACCTACACACGTCCTCCTGCAGAGTTGAGGCCCTCTCTAGGTCACCCCAAGGGTACCAGAGCCAGAGGTGGTTACTGTGCTGTATGTTCAGGGACTAGTGACAAGAAAAGAGCCTGCGCGTGCTGGGTGCCTACGCTGCCCGTGCTGGGTGCCTACGCTGCGCGTGCTGGGTGCCTACACTGCCCGTGCTCGGTGCCTACACTATTTTTTTCCCATTTTCCATCCGAGGTTGATTGTATCTGCAGAAGCAGACCCTGTGGGGCGCGGGGGGGGGGTTGGGGGGAGGGGGGTGGGGCTGGGGGGGGCTGGCTGACGTCATTACAGGCCGCTCTCCCCAGGAGCTGGTGGGCCAGCTTCCAGGGCCCTGCCCAGCCAGCTTCAGGGGTTGGGGCTCCAGGGCAGAGCGGCCCACTAGGAAGCAAATGTGGCCCACATCCGTCACATTAAGGCTCCAGCAGCCTCATCAGGAAAGCACAAAGAAGCATGTGACACTAACCCTGATCATACCTCATTTAGCCCACAACATCTGAAACGTCCACCTTGAGCCCTGAGCCCCCACGTGTGTTGTCCCCCGTGGGCCCTGCCTCGCCTGCCGCACTCAGTCACCACCCGGGGCTCTCAGGGGCCATGGCGGGCAGAGTGGCTTGGGAGCTCGAGTGACCGTGCCTCCGTGGTCACCTTTAAAGCCAGGCTCTTAATTGTGTTCTGCCCAGTGGCCAGTGACTGCCCAGAGTCAGCGTGACCTGGGAGCCCCCCAGGGTAGTACAGACACTGCCCCCGTGGGGTCTGACCGACCTTTGCTCTGGGTCACTGAGAAGTGAGGGCTGCCAGAGGATGCCACCAACAGACCTCAGCCTGCTCAACCAGGCAACCTGGCTTGGAACACACGGGCCACAGCGGCAGGCACACAGGGCGCCATCAAGGCTCGGGGACCATCCTCAAGCTGGTGGCCTGCAAGGTGACGCGTGTGCTGAGTCTCCCATCTCGAAGGGCCAGGTGCCCTCTGAATGCCACATGGTCCTGTAGCCACATAGTCCCTGCCCAGACTTCACCATCCATGAACCAAGAGGGGGTGAAACTGTCTGGTGRCATCAGCATAGACAGGCCAGGGCACGGTGCCGGGGGGACACCACACCCCAGGGTCCGTTTTTAGCTTCTCCAACGGGATCTCACGGTGGAGCCCTGTTCCTGGTGAGGGCTGGAGGGGTTGGAGACGGACAGCACTGAGGGCCAGCTGGCAGCCCTGCCCGACCCGCTCTCACGCCCCACTCCAGGCTGGTCGGTGGATTAGCGTCTGAAAATGTCCGCTGGGCTGAGTCAGTGGAGAACTTCAAGAGCCAAGGGATCACCCTGTGTGGGGACGTCCTGCTGATCTCTGCCTTCGTCTCCTACGTGGGCTACTTCACCAAGAAATACCGAAATGAGCTGATGGAGAAGTTTTGGATCCCTTTTATAAACAGTTTGAAGGTAAACACAGCCACATCCGTGACTCGGGGAACTGGGGAGGCCCCGGGCAGACGCAGCCACACTGCACCCCACTTCCCGGAGGAGGCTCGGCCCTTCAGGGTTTCGACATGGTGACGTCACTTCTGGCCGTGGGGCCAAGCTGCTCCTTCAGGGTGACACCAGGGCCGTCTCCTCCAGCTGGCCCGGCGCGACTAGCGTCTAACCAGGGAGCGCGCTGTCCAGTGAGTCACAGGGCACATCCCCCGCCCTCACAGGTCCCCATCCCGATCACGGAAAGCCTGGACCCCCTGAGTCTGCTGACAGATGACGCAGATGTGGCCACCTGGAACAACCAGGGCCTTCCCAGCGACCGCATGTCCACCGAGAATGCCACCATCCTGTGCAACACGGAGCGCTGGCCCCTGATTGTGGACGCCCAGCTTCAAGGGATCAAGTGGATCAAGACCAAATACGGGAGCATGCTGAAAGCCATCCGCCTGGGGCAGAAGAGGTGTGTGGCCGAGAGCCGAGAGCCCGGCCGGACGTGTTTGTCACATGCACAGGGGGACCTTCATGGATGCAGATACACAGGCCCTGGTGTCCAGTGCCAGGGAAAAGCACCAGCAGCGAAAACCGCGGGCCCCTTCCTCTTGCCCACTACTGCTGCCCCTGCGGGAGGAGGCGTCAGGCTGGTCATTTCTCATCTCCTGGTTTATGTTCCTGTCCCAGAGGAGAGTCGGTGGCTGTAACTGTCGGCTGATGATGAGTGCCCTGTCCACCCTCCTATGTGCTCGGCAGCGAGGGGCAGGGACAGGCAGCGTTGGTCCTGCAGCCTTAAGCAGCCCCTTCCCCTCCGCTCCCCGGCCTCCAGCTCCTCCCAGGGAAGGACGAGKTAGCTGCTGGGAGGAGGAGGCTGCCTCCAGGGCACCCCTCCCCCAGGGCCACCTCTCAGGGACTGCAGCTGCCCCCTCACAGGCCCCTCTGCATTGACGTGCCTCTGTGCTGTGCCTGTAGCTACCTGGACATCATTGAGCAGGCCATTTCAGAAGGGGACACCTTGCTCATCGAGAACATTGGTGAGACCGTGGACCCTGTGCTGGACCCTTTGTTGGGCAGGAACACGATTAAAAAGGGAAAGTAAGTTGTGTCCCTTCTGAGGTTTAACTGGGGGAACATCCCATGGGAGGCACGGACTGCCCTGGGTAGACAGGGGCTTGCACAGATGCTGCCCAGTGTGAAGGAGGCCCAGTGCCTGGGGAGGCTGGAAAGAGCAGTGGTCCAGGGAGGATGGTCTGCACCCCAGGTACTAGAGAGCCCCTCCAGACGGGGCCCTTCAACAGTGACGTTTTCTCCTTTCTTTTCTTACGCATTTTGCAAACCTGGAGAATGCCTTCCCTCTCTAGGAGCTCTGGAGAATCTGACCTAGTAAAGCGTGCAATGCGGTGGCCTTTAATACCCTCGCAGTTTTGTGCAGACATCACCTCTGTCTAGCTCCACAGTGCTGTGCCCTAAAAGGAGATGCCATACCCACAGGGCRTCTCTCCAGGTCCCCTGCCTCCCAAGCCCTGAGGAACCACTGATCTGCTTCCTGTCTCTGGATTTGCCAGTGTGGACACTCCAGGGAAACAGAACCATGCATGCTGCTCTTTTCGGATCTGGTTCTGTTCACTCAGCACTGTGTTTTCAAGTTCTTCCATGTTGTCGCACATATCAGTACCCCGTTCCTTTTTTGTGGCTGAATGATATTCTGTTCTGTGGATCTCTCAGGTTCCATCTGCCCACTCACCGGCTGATGCATTGAGCTTGTGCTACTCCTTCTAGTGTCAAACAAGTAACTCAACTGTACGTGTGCCATGTCAGGGCTGGCAGAAGCTCCCCGTTGACACCGGGGTGTAGGCAGAACTCAGAGGGGGCAGGCCCACAGGCTGGGGCCTAAGGCTCTGAGAAGGGCCTGGTACGATGCAGGTGGGCAGGGAGCCAAGTGAGCTCCAYCAGCAAGAGGGGGAGCAAAGACGGGGCCAGAGGGAAGCCCCCCCACAGTGGGTCAGCAGCCCTGGGGCTCCCGCACTGCTGCCCCTCAGGGGGCTGGCCAGGTGCACTGGTGTTCTGAACTGGGCCTGAGTGTTTCTGCCAAGGCTCAGGGTCGCCCCGTGTGCAGCCAGGGGTGCGTAAGGCACTGAGCAAGGACAGAAGTGTCCAGAAGGCCACGTTCCAGGCCAAGCAGAGCTGCAGCACTTTTCCAGCAACCAGAGGGGGGCGCTCGGGCAGCAGCTGGCCTGGGCACACCTCCGGGCAGGTAGGAAAGGCCATCTGAGCTGGGTCCCCATGGCTGGGTTGAGGCTTGCCTCCACTCCCCGCCAGGTTCATCAAGATCGGTGACAAGGAAGTGGAGTATCACCCCAACTTCCGCCTGATCCTACACACCAAGTACTTCAACCCTCACTACAAGCCAGAGATGCAGGCCCAGTGCACCCTCATCAACTTCCTCGTCACCAGGGATGGACTCGAGGACCAACTCTTGGCCGCCGTGGTGGCCAAAGAGCGCCCAGATCTTGAGCAGCTCAAGGTAACAGTCCCGATGGCTGGTCACACACAGCGGCACAGAGATGGGCCAGGAGCTGGGGGCGGGGGGGGGGGAAGGACTTTGGGTTCCCAAGTGTCTCTTTGCTTCTCTCCAAAGCTGCCCAAAAATACTGGATTGTGCCTTCTCGTCCAGTAGCGTCCACCCTTCTACCACGGCATCTCCTCACTTGGCTCCTACACTTAGTTGTCGATCAGTGGAGGGCTTCCCTGAGGAGCGGGCGTCACAGCTGTCCCTGGCTGGCTCTGAGGCTCAGGGCTGCCCTCCTGCCCTGGCCTCTCCCCAGCTCCGTGCAGCCACACACAGCTCAGAGGTGTCCTGCCCCCATCTCCCTGTTCCACCCCATGGTCTCCAGAAGAGGAGGCCTTGGGCCTCCACCACTCAGGGGACCCCACTTCCATCGGCCTCCCTGCAGGCCTGCTGCCATTCCTCTTGCTGGGCAGTGGTCTTGGCCAGGCTGGGGCAGTCACTGGGCCAGCAGGGGTGAGGCCAGGCCCTAACTGGGTTGCGCCGGGTCTCTGCTCCTCCTGCAGGCCAACCTCACCAAATCCCAGAATGAGTTCAAGATCGTCCTGAAGGAGCTGGAGGACTCCCTGCTGGCCCGGCTCTCCGCTGCGTCCGGGAACTTTCTGGGAGACACGGCCTTGGTGGAGAACCTGGAGACAACCAAACACACAGCAAGCGAGATCGAGGAGAAGGTAGGGAGCCCTCCCCTGCAGCCCYGGAGAACCGGGAGGCTGGGTAAGAGCACCAGGGCACCCAGCACCCTGCTGTCTGCTGCAGGGGATGGGGACATCCGAGGGAGCGGGGGGCTTTGGAGAGGGTGGAGCACCTGCTGTGGCTTGTGGCTCCTGGTGGCTTGTCCACCTGCTGGTCTCATCCAAGCCCCTCCTGTCGGTGTTGAGGTTCAAGAGGCAAAAATCACAGAAAGCAAAATCAACGAGGCGAGAGAGAACTACCGCCCGGCGGCCGAGCGAGCCTCCCTGCTCTACTTCATCCTGAATGACCTCAACAAGATCGACCCCATCTACCAGTTCTCGCTCAAGGTCGGCTGCTCGGCTGCTCAGGCTAAGGGGTGGGGCTCCAGGGCAGGGCCTAGGGCACTGGGGACAGTGCACCCGCGGGGCAGACCAGGTGCAGGCTGCCCCTGGGGATAGGGTCAGGGCAGGGTCAGTTCAGCGCCAGCACCCCAGGGAGGTCTATGTGGGTCCCTGCACCCCAGCGCCCCAATCAGAACAAACCAGAGGCCACCACAAGGGTGGGAGGGTCAGAGTCCAGCCCCGCGAGCCTCTGTGGCCCCCCAGGCCTTCAATGTGGTGTTCGAGAAGGCAATCCAGAAGACGCCCCCGGCCGACGAGGTGAAGCAGCGYGTGATCAACCTGACGGACGAGATCACCTACTCCGTCTACATGTACACGGCCCGCGGGCTCTTTGAGCGAGACAAGCTCATTTTTCTGGCACAAGTGACATTTCAGGTAACGTCCAGCCTTGCTGCTTAGTGTGGTCTGTGGACMGGCCCCGTAGGCACTGTGTGAGCTAGCTCTGAGTCGTGGTGACCAAAAGACCCATCATGAACAATTGAGGGGAAAGCCAGGCACAGTGGCGCACACCTGTAATCCCAGCGGCTGAAGCGGGAGGATCATGAGTTCAAAACCAGCCTCAGCAAAAAAGTGAGGTGCTAAGCAACTCAGTGAGACGCTCTCTCTAAATAAAATATAAAA